CTTCTATAAGTCGAAAGGAGACTGCGACCATACCCGAGGCCACAACATCTTGGTCTTCACATCTTCGATTCATATTAAGTTCATCACTAATCCATCTCATTCGCTTTTTACCAATTTCTTTATGCATTTCAAATTATTGGTCTCCCACATCTCTCCTAATAACAATTTCAATTTAGAGTTACTAATTAAACAAAGTTAAACTTGATATATATACTTTTGAGAAATAGAGAGGCTTTATTAATATTACAAAGAGTGACTCGGTCACAACTTAAGCAGTCATCCACCACCTATCTTCTCTTTTAAATATATTGCATTTGATTTATATTTAGTGGTTTTATCATTTTATATGCATGATGGGAATAAGAAATGGGACTGAATGTCTTATTAGTTAAGCTTAGAATAAAGATTATGCCCTACCATTAATTAACTGTTCTTACTCGAAACAGCTAGATTTTCAGAATTGGTAGGTTTTGAATAAACCAGTAGCTCTTGAATAAGCTCTGAATTCACCCTAGGTCACATAACATGATGATGGATGCATAGTTGAATAGTTCTACATTGGTATCAATATAACTCAGGATGACATTGAATTTAAATGAGACTTTACCCTCTGAAGTTATTCTCGTCCAGAGCGAAATGTAGTTTTGGCTGAGTCAGCAAAAGGATTTTTTCTAGAAATATTGTTTTCCTTGTCCAGGTTCTCCTTATCGAAGGGTCCAGCTGTCGTCGTCGACGTCAAAAAGCACACCGCTTAGCCCCGACACAGCATTTGTTTCAGGTCAATAACTCAACTCAACCCTCCCTGCCTCCGGCCCTTCCTACTCAACCGTGCCACTTTATGGCTAGTATCGCACCCGAAATTGTTAATTCCGGAGCTTACAGGATTACAGCTCAGGAACCCAGCGTCTGGCCTGGCGATCCTAATTTAGCCGCCCTATATTTGCCATCATCATCTGCTTTGGGTCCACTTACCTCTCAAGGATCTCCTGTTAATTTGGCAGTGGTATCGAGTAGTGGAAGTTTGGGTGTGGACTTTGTGCGCCAGAGCGTCAGAAAGTTTGGTGGACTTCGCAGCTCCCAACGACAGAATATCCAGGGCAGTGGCTCTGCTGGGGTACGGCAACAGCGTCGACAACAGCGACACATGCAAGATACTAGCGAAAGTAGTAGTGATGGTGATTCCAATGCAGATATCTACACAACCACTGGAGGTGATTCTATGACGGTAATAAATCCAAATAGAGAAATAACTGGGCTTGACCGAAGCATTGGCGACGGTGCCCTCACAGATACCGACTCGCGAAGAGGTGTATCTTTGGTCGGGCGAGAGCATCGCCTTACCTCTCTCAGTGGTCTTGAAGATGAGACGAGGCGACGTGGAGGTTCAACTAGCGCTAACAGAGGTCGAGGTAACCTAGAGGTTCTTGGCAAGGAAGTGACTAATGCCCTCTTTCGAATATGTGAAAAACGGATAGTCTACAGGTGCTATATTGAACTATCTTTAAGGAATTATCATTATTTGCCCTTGCGGCCTGTTAATTCTTCTCTATGACATCTTTTGTTTCTGTTCATCAGACTTCTTATTCTTAAAGATAAATTGTCACTTGGATAACCTGTAATTTTATGGACATATTTGAAATTTATAGTATTCATGATTAATTTCTAAATTAAAATTAACTTGCCTCTACAACAAGGTCGACCCGAGTGATTCTTTTCGCTCTTTTATCTATTTTCCTCTTTCTCACACTAATAATTTTTTAATTCGCCCACTGTTTTCCCATTTTCAATATTTTTGCATAGGCTTTATGCTTCATTTCATTTTTGTGGTCCTATCCTTCTGTGTAGATCAGAGATATGATTGCGTAGCCTCAGATTTGGTTCTATTCTTCTCTAGTCGTATAGTTTTGATCTGATCTAGTTTTCTTAACTTGGTTGGAGCTACAAGACAACCTTGTGAACACGCTTAGTCCGGCATCATCTATCATTGTATTTATAATAAGTTCCAGCATCGGACCGTTAAATTTATGGCTTCCCAGACGTTTTTATTTTAGCTTAATACCCTAATAAAGATTATATTGGGCTGTTAAGAAGATTGCATAAACGCAAGGCTGGTGAAATATTATCTCCTTCATATAGCTAAGCCCCATAGAAATGATTTTAATCGAAGATATTAACACCAAAATGGTGTGGTCTTTTGTGTGGTCTCAGTCTCCTTTCGTTGTATAGAAGTTGTTTGACCTTCTTTTCGCAACTTGGTCATATTGCTGGGAAGACTTAGTACGGAGTCCATTGTATGCATGATAATTTCCAAAGTCGGACCGTGGACGTGGTACATTTCCAGCATCGTCAATGAGTCTTGCCATTTTTAGCACCATGCTACAACTCGTCAAAGAGACATATGAAGCCGATCCTTTGACCAAATGTGAGCTAAACAGTTGTGGTTTCTCTCCTGTCCTGGACTTTTCACCTCCTATATCCTCGTATTACAATCAAAATTTTTTCTATTATTTTTCCTTGCTTATTTAAATGTACTTTGGTGTGCCCTTTTGAGCGGCTTTAATGAGAACCCTTCATACTCCACACTGGCATTATCACCCCCTCTCACCCTTGTGCTGAGAATTTCGATTAGAGTCTGCCATATTGTTACGGAGTCCTGCTTCCCTAGTCTTATCAGAGTCTCCCTCTTGCCCCGTAGAATCCGTCTGCTATCTCCTTGGTTAAAGTATTTCACTTGACCCCTGCCACCCCATCTGTGCTACTCGAAGCGTTATCACCTACCCCCTGCCTCGAAGTGACAAATTCGAGGCTACAGCCTCTGAATAATTCTGAAACCTTTGCTACATGGACAGATGGGGTGGCAGGGGTCGAGTGAAATACTTGAACCAGTGAGCTAGCTCAGTTACTGATCATTTTTACCTTGATATTCATGTCTTGCATCTAGGTATTTATAACTATAATGCCTGATCCTGAACTACATCTGACATTTTTCGGCCAATGAATAACTAGAAGTTGTGTTTTGTTCGACTCACTTTTCTATCATTTGTTTTATCTCGCCATTATTATTTTTCATTTTCCCAATTTAATTTAATTTTCAACACTCACTCATCATTCTTACATTCATCTAATTTTACCATTTTTAAAATCAAATTATAGTGATTGTATAGAAGAGGTTCCTCCTCCTGATTGGCCTGTACTCGGTATTTCGGTAAAACCAGATTTACAGATACTTAGCAGTGTTGTCCAACCGCCATCTACAACCGCTACTAGCAGCTCGAGCGACCTCAAAGCTGTAGAACCAGTTTATAATAGTTTAAATCGTGTTATTTCGCGTCGAAGTTTTCTTCGTTCTGGTTGTTTTCCAACGCGTGAACACCTCGACTTGGATCTACTCTCCCAGTTGATAGAACGGGCCATAGCAATCCGTAAGGTGAGCCAGATGGAGAAATTCAGTCTCTTGACAACTTACTTTTGACTTTGGTCAATAGTTTGTGTGCTCACATCCCAGACGACGTTTCTATACCATCTACAATTTGTCTTAGTACATATCTTCAAACTCTCAACATAACCCTATATATGTAACTGGGCCTGCCAATTGAATTATACTAGACGCCTTGGAAGTCTGATAACTTTTCAAATGCACCAATAAATGCTTAAATTAACCTGCATAATTAAATATTTGTTGCATTTTTCTCCATCTTTCACAATTAACTTTGCATTTAACATAGTTGGCCATAAACTTGCATAGTCTAAGCTTCACTATCTTGTCTGCATCGTCTACGAGATTGGCTTAACTATGTCCTCTGCAGTTTAGGCCGCGAACTATATTAAAAAATACTCGTCTAATTTAGTCGGCTAATGCTTATTTGCTTGATAAATGCAGAAATTTTAATATTTGATTCGTCACCTGGTTTGTTTCGGGCTCATTACTTCAATTTATATACATACTAAGTATCTTTGTACAGTTATACATTTTATCTTCCATACACTTATTGCGTTCTCCACTTTCGCATCCTTAGTCTACTGCCGATCAATTGCACTTGATCAACGGTATTCATTCTCATTCTCCGTCTAATCCTTCTGACACAAATGCTACTGGTGGCCACGAGACCACCATTCAAAGCGACTATCGAAATTTGATGTCTCCAACTGGATCTAGTGCTGGAGATCGAGAAGAAAGCGTTTCACATTGTCTGCCCTTGCTAAAAATAGACATTATGCGAAGGTCTCCAATCGAACTGATGCATGCAAAGGAAGAGGGTTGGTTTTTTAATATTATTTTTCTTACCATTGCCGACGGCAACTTTATACTTTTAACTTCTCCCCTATGCTTCACTTTTTTACACTTATATGTTTACTCCTGGGTTCTCTGGTTTTGGCTATTACATGATCTTATCATTTAGAAGTTGCATTGTACCTTTGGACAGTTACTTGCATTCTTGTTTTTTTAAATAAGGTAATATGTCTTGATAAATAGGTACCTCATTGGCCTTGGCCCAAATGGGGCCAAACTAGATCATGTGGCTTTCTGTTTTTTCACAATTGACATGCAAAGTTGAAAACAATGGGACTGAACGAAAATTAGAAGCCCTGAAATGGCACCTGGAACCGGTGGTGAGGATGATTATGCCTCACTAAATCCACTAGTAGCGATACACTCTTAGGCGACAATGGAGGAAACGAGAGCACATAATTGTGTGAATAGGTAACTGGGTCATATGAAGGGGGGTTTAGAGAAAGAAATGTAGCACTAGAAGGTAGGGCAATAAATAGGGCGAGTAGATATGCTACAATGGTTGAACAGAAAATTGGTTAAGGGAATTGCCTTCACTTGTCACTTTGATAAGTTGTAACCCTGCGCTAACGATGGCGCCTCCTGACGATACCAATTACGATGCGGCGAAATGCCTTGGAAAATACCAAGTCAAAGGTAATATGCTGGAAATCACAGATACTTTGGCAGAGGACACAGGACTAGGCATTTTCCACAAGGTCTTCCTGATGCTCCGACCAAGTTGAGAAAACGAGGTTAAACCAGCACCATGAAATAATATCTGCCTTATTAACTTTTTGATCCTAGTTATTGGGGGAGAAAATGTCTTTAATCTAAATCTATCTCTTCTCAATATTTTGTTTTCGTTTTAAGGAACCAGCACCTTTAGGAACAAATTCTTGCAGTTATTGGCTTG